ATAAATTGGGCTCTGATTTAACACCATTCCAAACAAATGGGAATTTCTCCCCCTTGCAGCTACTTTGACTGAAATGTTTATTTATTATTCTTTATTTATGTTTATTATTATGCTTGAAATTTTCTAAGAATTTGTTAAATTCCGGAACCCTGCATCATTCAACATTCCTCAAGATGTGTGTCTTGGTTTGGAGAGCTACTCGCCCTTTTCTTCAATGCAAAACCACATTTGCCAGTTTGAAATACGCCACTACTCTGCAGCCATGCTATGTAATTGTCTTAGTTATCTTGTGCGTTTTCCTCTCTCAGTGAAATGAGTAGTTCTGAGAGCACCAGAACTGGCAAAACCTGCCTTCTTCCAGATTCATGTCTGATGGTTGGTTGTAAACCTGCAGTGATTTTTTTTTTTCCAGATACTGAGACGTTTATGTTGTCTCTTGCTCCCTCATGGGATTTCTGATGTCTAATAATACGCAAGGCATGCTGTAGGGTGTGCCTTGCCTTCCATCAGGACACCCATAGGCATGCTTTTTCGATCCTAATGGTTCCTTATGTTTATAAAACTTGCAGAAACGTAATTTTCCTTTTAGAGTTATATGTGGTCAAAACTCATCAACCAGTTCAAGAGTTGTTGAATGGGGCAGGAGACAGAGATAAGAACGACACGTTAAGTCCCTTTTCTTTAAGAAACAACGCTAAAGCAGTAGCCTGCGCCTACAGAAGAACACTGCCTCTCAGAGCTCTAGTACCTGAGTGAGAAAGCTGAATCTGGAAGGTATCATGCATATTAACCAATTTCTGCTCTCATTGATGCCACTCAAAATCTGTGTTACATTGGCAAACTCTGCTATACTGTTATTATTGTAGGAACATCTGTTATACTGCTCTAATTGCGGCTTAGTGGCAGCAAAAGAAGAAACTGATTAGCCAACTAAAACATTTAAAAACCAGGAGGGGAGGAAATACTTTGTACATGGCTCAACACTTGGGAAAATAGAGTATTTTTTCTTCAGGTATTCATTGTGGTGTGTTAGTTTTGGGGTTTGGGGTTTTTTTTCCAATTTCTGAGGTTTTTAGTAATAAAAACAGGAGCATCGGTGAAAGGTGAAGTGGCAATTGCTGCAGAAAGGTCAAAGCAGTGGAGAAAATAAGGATAATACTTTTCATGGAGTTTTGGCAGGTTTTTTGAAAATGCACACAGGAATATTTGCTCTTAAGTGAGGACAGGTGTGTAACACTTTCTTCAGTGTGTGTTGTAGTCTTTCCAAGGTATGGAAGATCTGTACAAGTTTGCATAATCTTGGCTTCAGTTGCAAACCTATTGAGTTTTCTGTGAGGGATCGCCTTGCCAATTTGTAAGCTGTTGCTGAGAATTGCAAAAATGCAGGGTACCCCTCACAATGACAGCACTTTAGTGAGCAATCTAGATATCCCAGTTAGTTAATATATGTGAGAGCAGAAACACTGGGGAACAGAGCAGACAGAAGCCTCACAGACACAAAAAACTATTCCTTCCTGTTTGGCATTTCTTGTCTCCTAATGCGCTGAAATGAAAGGACATTACGCAGTATTTTGGAACGGAATATTATGGCCCTTAAGGGCACCTCAGCACTGGTTTCTTCCTGTCTGTTGGCTTGAGAAATGGCTGGGTAAAGATTAAACAACATCAACTTCATTAAAAAAAAAAAAAGTAGAGCCAACAGCAGAAAGTCCTGCAGACCTAGCTACAGCTCACACTACCACATGTCATGACATACTGGCATTCATGGTTGTGGGAACATTTCTCTTAGTTGTGTACAGCAAGCATACGTGGACCATGGCTATAAAAGGAGCAAATACGTCTGGGGCCATGATCCTGCAAAATAGTTGGAATATCTTCTATTCCAGGGCCTGCCCATGATCTGTTTCTTGGGATTATTCCTTTCATCGACGCTTTAATTTTTTGCACTGAGATCCAAACAGAAATGGCAAGGAAGTGTCCATATGATCTGTCTCAGCCAAAGATTGTGGCAAACTGTTTCTTTGGATAAAACCTGCAAAGGCCTAACACCTAGTGATAGTTGTCCACGCCACTGAGGAAAATGATGCAGGTCTGGGACCTCTACAGTAGAATTTGTGACAGAATAATCATGATGGTGAAACTGCAGAGCTCTGGTAAGTTATTTTAACTTGCTTAGGACACATTGGTATTGATACTAATATGGAGATCTGTGAGAGCATTTCTTTGCAGGTCCACCAATGCATGTTTCCATTGACAAGATGCTAGTGGGAGACGTAGCCTGGGAAAGCGCTTCAAAATCTTTCCTGGATTATGGTTTTCTGTAGCCAGCAAGGAGAGGCTCACCAGATTTCTTTCCACTTAATCTGGATTGCTGTGCTACTCCCTTATTTGTTTATTGTACACACATAGACTATAAAATAGGCTAAAGGGATGATGTTATTTGTGCAGGCCTTCCAGAAGGGGGAAAAAAGGTGTCTAGGAGATGCACAAAGTGAGAAAGCAGCTAAAAGGGAAACAATAAAATAGAAATGCACACAGGGACTGAAGGCCAGTCAGGAGGGTATAGACAGCATGACGGTGATCTACAGAAGAATGCATTCTCCCCCTTTAACAAGGCTACAACGTAGTTACACCTTGTCCTGCTCCTGTAGCCTCCGTTTGTGTTCCCGCAGCCACTGCTTTCCTCTGCCACAGAGGAAAGTGGCTGGCAAAGTCCAGGTAGCAGCAAATACTTTGTCACCCATCATCTGGGTTTAAAGTACAACATGCAGGAGCTTTTCCTGTAAAAATCAATAGAATTCCTTTCTCTCAGTGGCTTGTGTCACACTGGCAGACTCTGGGTTAAATTTCTCTATGCTAGGACTCTATGATTTCCTGGTTAAGGTAATTGATAATGACACTTTAAAAAAAAAAAAAAAATCTTCTTTTGCTGCTTTTCAGCAGTTAGCAAACGTAGCAAATGTGTGTGTGCTTTTATTACCTTCGCATGCAGCCGTGTCTGAGTGCAAGGCATTTCCTGGAGATTAACAATTGGGTGGGAAGGATTGTGGATACAAGAGGCAACCCTGGGGACCCAAACTCGTTGTAAATCCATGGGAGGCGCTCTGTGCTGTGACTTACTGTTGTAAATTGAAATAAAAAGCACATGGGCCTATGTGTGTCTGTCTGTGGTGTAGGAGCAGATATTATTGACATTTCCAGCAATTAAGTTACTGACTCCTCCCTCAGTCTGTGTGCTGCTAGCATTACAAACACTACAGCTAGCAAAAGAACTGATAGGAAGGATTTACTCTGGATCCATTATTTTTGTGGATCGCTTGCAATTAACAATTTGGATTTCATTAAGAAAAATCAATAAAATCCAAGTTTAAATTGAGTGCAGGTTGTATAGGGGCTTGTTGTATTTTAGCTAAGTTGTTTTGAAGATCATTTTACCAAACCACACAAGTGCATATATAACTGTGGCCATACGCATACACAGAGTATATACACCTAAGGCCTGCCTGTTTGACTAAGCCTTAGTCAAACAAACGGGTTCATTAGAGCAAAGTCTCAGTGTTGCAGAATTGAGCTTTGTAGAGTTATTGCACAATGAGAAGTTCTCTTGTATCGAAGCTTCTGCATCTTCAGCTGCTGTGACATTTGGTTTGTAGGTTTAAAAAAACAACTGCCCCCAGTGAGGATTGCAATGCTGTATTTCAGTTTCTAAAGAAAGAGACGTGTTCAAAGGAGCTGAGCAGATCTTGTTGATCTGAGTAGGACACCTGCATATCATATTAAAAGTGGGAGATTGCAGGATCCATATTTAAGCTACAATAAAACCAGAAAGTTCTGAAATTTGTTTACCCAGTTCCTCTTTTCCCCATGTCTGTTTTGCCTTTGAAGCAATAATGAAGAAATTATTTTGTCTACTGCAGTGTGAACAGCAAAACTAAGTGTGTCACTTTGTTTCAGTTATAGATATCTATCTGAGACAACATGGGGATTTTTCGTAGTTTCTGTTTTATTTTCCTGTTTGGGAATTTACAAGAACACCAGCTGTCCATATAAGAAATGCTTTTTACTCACACCTGTTGTTTAAACTTGACAGGCACCAAGTCAAGTAGAAACTTGTTAGGTTTCATTACACCACTTGGAAAAAACGTCGTCATCCATTAAGTAGAGCACAGCTTCCCCCCCAGCATCAGTACACCTTGAGCTTGATTCCCTTCTGATGCATGTGCCAGTATCTTGCTTACCTTCGCACTCCAAGATTGTTTTTATTGGAGATGAAAGGATGAAAAGAATTCAAGCTGAGTGGCAGACAGGAAGATGAGTATGCAGGTAGTAAAACTGTTCTACTGAGTAATGTTAATCACACTCAAGAATAACTGTGAGTTAAGTGTATGTAAATGAACCTGACATACACTGCTATACACCAGAAAGTGTATGTAGCATCTAAAACAGAGATGGTTTTGGTTTGGTTAAAGGTCAAAGAAATAAATAATAGTATTTCCAACTCAAGCAGTTGATGGGTAATTCCAAGTGGCAGGAGGGACAAACTGCCCCACATTTAGTGCTTACTGCAGAAGTCAGTCATCCTAGGCAGTCTCCTCCCTCAGTAGTCGAAGGTTTTCAGATTTTCTTAGTTGTTTCCCATAGCTCTGGATGTAAAGGTACAAAAGAAATAACCTGCTTTTGTTTTTGCAGTGATCCTATGGCAGCACAAATCTGTATAAATGCCATTAATTTGATTTATTTTACATGTATGGAAAGGGGATAGAGTAAAATCCCTTCTTACTGATCTGTGTAGCATATAGTAACTGTGCACTTACACATCTCTAAAGGCTCTTTTGAAACATGCCTCAGCTTGGGAACAACAGTATAAAGCAAAGGAATGGAGTTTGTAGTATGCATGGACTCACTCTCATAAGAATATGCGAGCCCAGTGCCAAATGCCTCCACCCAAATATCCGAGATGTTACTAATTTGATAAGAGACCTTTTCCTGTTTTTTACTAGCCTGTGCAGTTTCTCAAGCTATCTGTGCTCAGTTCTCACGAAGAGCATTTTTAGCGGCACAGAACCTGTCTACAGAGCGAAATGAAGGTGTAATTGCAGCACAGGTAGGTGAAACCATGCTGGAACAATAGTTGCAGCAGTGAATCTGTGGAAAATGGTCTGGCAACCAGCATACACACGCAGCTGGATGAGTATTTGGTATGAACTGCAGAGAAGCACTTGCTTATGACAACAGTTATCAGTAAACACACATACTGGAGCTTCAGTTAATGTTAAATGGCTTGGAAGAATTGCTAGGAGAGTAGATGCTGAGAAGGGTCTAGAGTCTTCTATCTAGAAAGGCAGATAAAGACAGTCATGCAAGTCAGGACTGTGCTCTTCACACAGGGCTGTGCCTGAAGATTCGCACACAAAATGTGGAAACATGCTTTCTTCGGCTGCTGTATCTGTCAAAGCAAACATGCCTGTTGTTTTTCTTCCTGACTTGTAGACACCTGCTGTGGAGTTGGCATTCAACACTGGCACTTCAGGATGACTGAATGCAGTCGCCTGGTCTGCTTCTCTCCCGAGTAAGTCAGTGTCAGGCAGGCAGAGTTCTCACTGCCACGTGTCTTGAGGCATAGTTGTCTGGGACTTGTTAATTTCATTGAACTTGGTATTTTGGGGAGAAAGGATGGAAAGAGAGGTAGTTATCACACAGTTGTGAGGAGCACTTCCTAGAGAAAGCCAGAAAGCTTTGCTAAGTGCCTGCGCTTCATAATTGTATCTTTGGGCACATGAGCTTCAGAATGATAACTCACCGTTAATATGTTCAATCTTTTAGGTGTTTTATGTCTTTTGTGACCTGTTACTTTGTTCTGAATTTCGTCTGAAAAGTTATACTTGGAAAAGTCAGAGAGACTGATACTGTCTGGTGCCCATTGCATTATGTGAGCAGTGGTTACGAAAGCCATCATTTGCCATGGTATGTTGTACCTCTACCCTCTGGGTGGGGAGAAAAGATGGAGAGGGTAAAAAGGTTATACACAGCAACTGAATTCTAATTATAAATGTGAAGCCATTCTCAGGGACAAAATTGTTCAGTCCACTCTGTGCTCAGTTTTCTACCAGAAGAGATTGTTGCCTGGAGAATAATTTCAGGAAAAACAGGAAATAAAGCTGTATGGTTTCTTTTTATCCCCTCTCTTTTTTTTTCTTTTTTTCTTTTTTTGGGGGGAGGAGGGGTACGGGTGAGGGAGGTTAGTGGTTTTCTTTTTTCACACTGATGTATTTCACAAATGTTCCTTCATTGCTCACTTTCAGCTGGTGACAATTATTTTTCCTCTGAGTCCCAAGAGGTTTAAAGTAGGCCCTGAATTAAAAGTATGAGGAGGTCACCACCGAGAAACTGGAGTTTCGAAACCAATGTTTTTTCAAAGAAGATAAAGGAATGTGTGGGCCCTTTGGCTGGTCTGTAACCACAGCATGGTCTTTTCAGCATTCCTTTCCCTGACATGCAAAACATTTCCCAAACTCCCATCCTGTTGTGTCAGACTGCATGCGACTTGTAAAACTAAAGCAGTAACAATGTGGCACTATAAAACTGTTTCATAGTCTATTTGATTGAAAGTAAACAATCCCCAGGTGACACATCCTGAGTACACAGGAAAATAGAGTAAATTAAGGAGGGTTATGTTCCTTTTGTGTTGTGTGTGGAGCTGGGGAAATAATGTCTCCAACCTGTGGTGCTGCATAATTTTCCAAGTATGAGCCGCTGCTTGGAGGGCAGGGCCAGCCTTGCTGGGCTCCTAGTTGAGCTTGAGGGCCACCACTGCTGCTCTGTTTGTTAAAATGTGATGGAGACAGGGACACGGCATGACTGTGCTGCTGGTGTGACCAAAACAGGATCAGTGTTCCTGTGTACTGCAGAAAAAGTACATCATGTTTAACTAAACTCCTCAAGAAGATTAACAAATACATGAATCATAGTTCAGAGCTGATGATAAACACGTTGATCTCAGTGTCTACAGACCCACTGGTTTTATTGCCACTTTTTCTCCAGATCTAGACATCTGACATGTTTAAAGATTTGTTCCTGCTTAATGTTTCTCAGCTAAGTTTTTGGAGAATTCATCCACCTGTGACCTCAGTTCAGATAAAAAAACAAACTCAGGAACGATTTTGATCTTAAAATAAATCTGTGAACATGCACCTATCTGTGTATCTTTTGGGAAAGGTTGTCTGGTGTTTGGCTGGCTCCAACTGTTCGAGAATAGAACGTTACTGGTGCACACTGGTAGGTAGCACACTGTTAATGAAATGGTACATACACTGTAATCATGCAGGTGTTACCTTATTTGATAAGTAAATAATAATACCCTGCTAACTCGTGTACTGACCAAGACCAAACAAAAAATGTACGTGGGTGAGGAATCTGTAATAACAACTCAGTTCAGTGAGACTGACAACCAAGAGAGGGCCCACCGCAGTGGAACCACCCCTTTTACTAACAACTGGTTAAACTGATAAGGTTTCTTACTGCCCTCTACTGTGCGAATGCTTCAAGCCAGAGGTGAATAAAAATTCTGTCTCTTGCTTCTCAAGTAGATGGAATTGCTTCTGAAAAGAGAGAAGGAAAGCAGATCTTGAATCCTCTCTACATCTAACTTAAGAATTTGGGTTGGTTTTTAATCTCCTATGCTGAGATTAGAAACATGAGGTGTGATCAAGGGAATCATCCCTTTACTCTTTGCTTTTCCACTAACATCTGTTTCCCTATATCTGTGTATACAAACAGATAGTATTTTTTAATTGCTGCTCTCCTGTTTGTCTTCATTTTATCTAGCACAAATATATATTGTCCTTTTTAACAAGTTTAGCTTTAGTCTAATTATTTTCCATTAGATTCAACATTTTTAGATCCAGAAGCCTTTACAAAGTTACAATCTTTAATTATTAGAATCCAGTTGGAATAAATGAAATCTCTTGGATTAACAGAACATTTCATTGTTTCACAATAAATCCAAACAAAGAAAACAAAGGATTTTCCTTACACTGCTACTTCCTACAGTTTTAAAAGTGAGCACAGTCCTGCTTTGCTGAGAGACCCGTTGTGTTGTGCCATCCTTTATCATCGGAGTAAGGCATAGCTCTTCACACAGGCTTTTCAGACCTACTGAGTGCAACTTAGCAAGGATGCAGAGCATAGGAAGAGTCTGCTGGTTTAGTGCTAAACGATGTGGAGTTTTTCCACCAGCTGGCTGTGTTACATAAGGCAGGTCGATTACAGCTGAGAGTCTGTGCCTATACTTGGAAGTGACTGATGGACAAGGACAGAAGAAAAACATTGGGGGTTTCATGTAGGATCGGATTAGCCTAGTGCTTGCTGTCCTCATTTTCTGTTGCTATCAGTGGGAGCTGAGAATTCTCAAAACCTTGTAAGACTGATACCGCAACTCAAAGTTAACAAAAACAGAAGCTTAGAGGAAGATACAGCAGGTAACAGCAGGCCATGTTGTGCTACTGGATTTAACACAAAGCTTTTCATTAAGGCAATCAGAGAAAAATGGCAAGATGTGTTTCTGGCTTAGGCCCATTCAAAGGGTGGTCCTGCTGAGCAGGTTAATGTAAGAATGCTGAAAATCTTGCTACAAAATGCTTCCAGAGACAGTTTAACACAGTGAAAATGAGTTATGAGAATGTCAATACAGCATCTTGTACCAGTTGGGTATGAAGTTGTACTGTGATAAGCAGTGGAGTTTTATTGAGAAAATACTAATGAAAAATAAATGCCTGCAGTGAAAAGTGTAGCATCTGGTCTGTATTTGACTTCACACATGAAAGCTATTTGGCCTGATTTCCTGCCAAATCCTGCAGTTCTTGAGATCATCGGACATGAAGGAGATTGAACTCCCTTGGTTAGCATCTCAAAATGTTCTCTGTTAATGAGGGGTCTTTTTAACCTACTTTGTACCTATCATCATCTGCTCTATCATTGCTGCAATTAGTAATTTCACAGCAGTGACACATAGGAAGGGGATGACTGAGTATCTTCATACTAAAGAAGATATTTTGATGCTCCTGTTAGAGATGTGGACTAATAGTTCCGCTGGCAGCACTGAGTGGCTCTGGATTTGCCCTTGCATTAGGCACATACAGTCTCTTGTCGTAATAGGATGATGTGAGGATCCTAAATCTGCAGACTTGCCTGCTTGCCAAAGCTTACAAAAGTCCTGGTTCTTGGATGTCATCCTTGGATGGGGCTTGGATCTAGCTGATGTGCTACCTACCTGCCAATCAGAACCTACTGATTCACTGAAAATCTTTTCTTTATGCCTTCTTGAGTGCTATTGTCACTATTTGGTCACTCTTCAGTCTCTTCAGCTTGCTGCTCAGTCACTATTCAGATCATTAGAGAGCACTGTTGAAAGTTTATTTTAAACCAAATAGGTGGAAGGTTTTGAGGTAGTTTAAAAGCATCGATTGGAGGGCATTGTCATCTCTCTGTAGTAGCTTAAGATAGCAACTACATGGAAAAAATATTTTTGTGAGCCTGCTGTGCCATCAGCACTGCTGTGGGCTGAAACTTGACTGTAAAGCCAGCGCTGGAAAATTCAGTGTTTGTAAGTAACCTCAGGAGTTTCGATCAGATGTGCTCATCTTGCAGTTAAAAGGTTTTATCTTGGTGCTAGACTAGCTTGCCCCGCTTTACTTCTGCCTGGCATACATCGAGCAGTGGGCTTTTCTGATTTGCTCCTGCGATCGTTTGTGGTGGAGTGCAGAGTTAAGGTCAGAGGTTACGTCGTGGCCTGAAGTATCCTGCATCTTCTTTTCTTACCCCTGGCGCGTGGGTTAAAAGCGGCTCAGGCTGTCAGGGCGGTGTTGGTGCTGGCGGGAGGTACGAACCCTCAGGAGAAGGGCGGGCGGTGCTGCGGCGCAGGCCGGGGTTCCAGTTGCCCGGCAGAGCGGAGCTGTGCTGTAAAATCCTTCTTTTTAAGGGCTTGGGAAGGGTTCGCAGGGATTTGACTCGTTGCCCAGTGCTGCCTGGAACTGCGTTTGGACGCACAGGTGGTTTTGGTGGTTAGACACGC